GATGCCGTCGCCGTCGCCGTCGGGGCCGCCGGTGCTGCCAATCTCGGAGCACGAGGACGAGATCGTGGCCGCCGTGGAGGCGAACCCGGTGATCGTGGTCATCGGCGAGACCGGCTCCGGCAAGAGCACCCAGCTCTCCCAGATCCTCCACCGTCGAGGCTACACCCGCCGCGGTGCTATTGCGGTCACCCAGCCCCGCCGTGTCGCGGCCGTCTCCGTCTCCAGGTGCTCCCCTCTCTCCCAAGCGTGCGCGCATAGTTCAATTTGCTAGAGTGTGGGCTAGTTGCGTGGGAGGTAGGCGCCAGGGAGGCAGGGAGCATATGGTTCTACTTCCTGATCTATCATGCTACCATTTTTGTCTTCCTTGTGGGCTGCGAGGGTGCATTTAGGTCAATTGGCTGGATTGGGAGGAGGATGCAATCGAATCGATTGTGTATCAAGAACTATGTATGGGTCTATATGCCCGTGGAGATACCAAACTCTGATATATTACAAATTACAATAGGAACATAATGCTCGACTGGAGTATCATTTTGTTGCACAGAAAATACATTAAGAGCATAAACACCTAGAAGGAACTGCCCTGTATGATACCTGGAATGCCGACAGTAACTTCAATTATTTTCAGGAGGGTGGCACAAGAGCTCGGTGTCTCCATTGGGGAAGAAGTTGGTTATGCTATTCGGTTTGAAGACCGAACTTCAGAAAAGACTAAGATCAAGTAAGCTTCAGAAAGATTGAATTCTCTTGTAACTTAAGCATGTCCTGAGTTCTTGGATTGAATATTTTGAATCAATTCGTAGGTACCTCACAGATGGTGTTCTTCTGCGGGAAAGCCTTTCAAATCCTGAGTTGAAGCAATACTCAGTAATTATCTTGGACGAAGCTCATGAACGTAGCTTGAACACGTATGGTCATCTTTATGTTACATAGATTTACAGGAATCTTTATCAAAATTTAGAGTGTTTTTAATCAAGTTTTATTGAAGTACAGTTTGCCAAGCTCTAGCATAAATGCATAGCACAATAGAGTAAGAACTTTGAAGCTATCAAACTAGTAGGATGACCAAATACTGTTATTTCGGCATCTCTTATCATATCGTGTATTGAGTTTGAACATATGTAACCTATACTAGCAATTTGGCTTCTCTGTCCAATTTATAATCTGAGTTGTGAACTTGGGTTAAAATGAACTTTGTACTATCCTATTTGATGCCTTCTTTCTCGACTAGTAGGAATTTACTGCACAGTACATACCAAATAATTAATTGACCACTCACTAATATATGTTTTCAAATACTCCTCTGTCCTATACTAATTGACGCTCAAATAGATGTATCTAGACATATTTCGGTGCTAGATACATCCGTTTGAGCGCAAATTAATATGGGACGGAGGAAGTAATATATAACAGTAACACATTACCTAAATTGTAATTTTCTCTAGTACATGCTTACTTGGTTACTCTTTAGATGAGATGGCCTCTGACTGCAAACATAAAGTAACTTCTAGCTCTTGGATGCATATGTTGATGTTGTACCAAAGTAGAGTTACTTGGGTTGTAGGGGTGAGAGGCTCTAGGGAAAGTTTACCACTGGCATGCTATTGCTGCTTTGATAATACTCCCTCCGTCCCATAATGTAAGAAGTTTTTTGACACTAGTGTAGTGTCAAAAAACGTCTTACATTATGGGACGGGGGGAGTAGAAGGTAATCGGAAGACTGGCAATTTAAACATTAGGGTAACAACTGAAAGAGGGAGCACATGGATTAGGATAGCAGCTGGAAGAGGGACCAGCTTGCAGTCACACTTAAATACTTAATGCTGATAATCACATATTCACACTCGTTGTTCTGCATGAGTTGATACTATTCTATCTTTACCCCGACTTTCTGCAGCATAGCTCAACAGATTCAAAAGTCACATGAGAGAATAACAAATTGGATTCAAACTTCCAATAACATACTCATCAGGACCAGCTATCTGGTTGTGGGAACCTGTGAATGTAATCTAGCTACCATAGTCTTGAAATGATGCTATTTTCTTCCTTTGTTTTAGTGTGCTTACTTGGTTACTCTTTAGATGAGATGGCCTCTGACTGCAAACATAAAGTAACTTCTAGCTCTTGGATGCATATGTTGATGTTGTACCGAAGTAGAGTTACTTGGGTTGTAGGGGTGAGAGGCTCTAGGGAAAGTTTACCACTGGCATGCTATCGCTGCTTTGATAATACTCCCTCCGTCCCATAATGTAAGAAGTTTTTTGACACTAGTGTAGTGTCAAAAAACGTCTTACATTATGGGACGGGGGGAGTAGAAGGTAATCGGAAGACTGGCAATTTAAACATTAGGGTAACAACTGAAAGAGGGAGCACATGGATTAGGATAGCAGCTGGAAGAGGGACCAGCTTGCAGTCACACTTAAATACTTAATGCTGATAATCACATATTCACACTCGTTCTTCTGCATGAGTTGATACTATTCTATCTTTACCCCGACTTTCTGCAGCATAGCTCAACAGATTCAAAAGTCACATGAGAGAATAACAAATTGGATTCAAACTTCCAATAACATACTCATCAGGACCAGCTATCTGGTTGTGGGAACCTGTGAATGTAATCTAGCTACCATAGTCTTGAAATGATGCTATTTTCTTCCTTTGTTTTAGTGTGGCGTTGATTGTGAACTTATCTGTAGTGGCTCATTTTGATGTTTTTTTTGGTTACAGTGATATCCTTTTAGGTTTAATGAAAAGATTGATCAAACATCGAGCTTCAGATTTGAAAGTTCTCATCACTTCGGCGACTCTCGATGGTTTGAAAGTGTCAAATTTCTTCTCTGGATGTCCTGTGTTGAACATCCCTGGAACTATATTCCCTGTGGAGAAGTTTTACAGCACAGATCGTCCAACAAATTATATTGAATCTTCTCTCAGAACAGCTATAGGTATGGATAATTTTTTGTTTGTGTAACTATTGCAGTTATAAACTTTTACAATAGAATGCCAATATTTTTTTGGTGCTTCCTAAGTAGGCAAATAGCTATATGTATTCATCACTTTTCCATTACATCAATCAGAAATTGATTCATTGTCAGCAGACCTAAGATTTTGATCTAATGTCGTGAATGTACAAGAGGGCATTTGGATTTATAGTGGTATGCGGGTAACAGGTCAGTACCCCTTGAGTTGCTGTTGGATACTGCGTTGGTCAAATTGGCTGGTAGAGACGAAAGTGTGTAGGGGCAGAGCCATTTCCTTTTATTATTTTAAGACTTCAAGGCACTTGGTCGTAATACAAAAATGCAGTTAACTCTATCATTCTAACAGAAAAGCACAATTTGCATGTCCAACTGAATCCAAGTGCAGCTAACAAACTTCTGTTGTTTAGGTTTCTAGCTCTAGAAACCGCAGTGAGAGTAGGCGTGTTTCCATTCGTTTTCTCTGTTTCTAGGTAGATACCGCTGTGAGATTTTTGTGTGCCAGTCTGCAGTGGCGGCTGTCTTGTATGGACTCAGTGCTCTCTTCTTAAAGATAAGATGTGCAAAGCTTTTGCATGTTCTCTGAAATAGACCATTTTTTCACTTTGGCTGTTTCTACTTATTTCATGTGTTTATCAAGAATATCCATTTGAGCCATTTGAGCCACTTTGTTTATCAAGAATATCCCTGCAAATTGGCTTAACTTTAACCACTGTGGAGAAGTTTATCAAGAATATCCATTTGAGCCATTAATGTATGCATATCGTACATCATTTCATGTGTTTTTATATAATATACTATCCAACAAAGGGCTCTTATTATTTGGAAAAGGTAAAGAAAATAAAATGTTTGCTCTCATGAGGATTTGATAATCTAGGATGACTCCATCCCTTTCATAGTTGTTCGTCTGATTTTGACATATCCATTGGTGATTGGTTCAACATCTGATGAGAATATTCCCTTAAGTAGTAGCACTTTGTCCCTGATGAGTAGGTCCTGTACACCCCACCAAACACTAGGATACCCACATATCCTAGACCACTGACAAACCCCCTCCCCGCTGTTGATTCTGCCACTGTACTGGCTGCAATTTGCCTCCCTTGTCGTCTTGTTGCCATCGTGTGGCTGTCACTGTCTTTGATGTAAAGGGAGGTGGTGCAAGTGTGGGATTGTGGTGGTGTGAGTTGCTATGTCAAAAAGATCAGCCTTGGGAGGGTCATGTACTACTGGTTTCTGGGTCATTCCCTTGGCTCTTATCCATTTGACACTATTAAAAATTTGAAGGGCATTGACATGAAGGCGTATACAAACTACAGGTTTGCCAGCTAACTGCCTGCATGCCTTTTGGTGGCATGGAAATTATTTCATGCATGCATAAATATGATCAGAGAGTAATGTTTATATTGTATGACTAATTATTGGTAGAAACTAACATCGATTATAGGGAAGTCATTTAATTATGTCTTTAGGCTTGTTTAAAGTTTTGGCCCTGATGATTTATATAATTGTTGGAGATCTTATTTTCGGTAATAATACCCATAGATTTTTCTCCAACAGATATACATGTTAAGGAAGCTCCTGGGGATGTATTAATATTTATGACAGGAAAGGTCAGTATCTCAAAATTGGCCACTGTTTATGCTCTCATTATCTTATATGCAACTTGAAGGACATTATGTGGTCTTTGACACTAAGGAAAGACCTTGACCTGTTTCTTAGCTGATTTAATTGCAGTTTATATTAGTTTGTCCTCTTTTCTTGCATTGTTAGTGTATCTATATCTATATATACCTACTAATAATGTCATTAGTGCTTCTGCCCGTCCGCCATCAATAATTTTGCAATAAAGTCCCTGTGTTTTTTGGTATTCAATAATACCGAGAGTCCCAGTTTGTCCTTAAGGTTTTAAGACAATTACTTGAGATGGTTTTACTGCCTACTACCACTTGGCCCTAATTTGTGACCAAATTACACATTATTCTTATAAGAGAACAAAATATTCAGAAAATATTTTCTCTTGATTATCTTACCTGATTCCTTTTTGAATTTTGATACTGTATTTTATTCCTCCCATCTAGAGTGACTGATAATTTTAATTTTGGAATACCTGTAGAACTTTCATATGTTGTCATTGATATGGTTTTAAAATGTCTGGGAGTATTTTTGCATAACTGAAGGGGCAATGTGTTGGATGCAGAACCCTTACTATTGTTTTGTCATACTTATACAAACTTGTTGGTATCCTTTTCAGGATGACATCGACAAGATGGTGTCAAAATTGGAGGAAAGAATTCAAAATCTTGAGGAAGGATCTTGTATGGATGCTCTTGTCCTACCACTCCATGGTTCTTTGCCACCTGAACAGCAGGCAATCAGTTAATCTCCCGTTGCATATTTTCTTCCTTAATCTTTTACCCCAAAACTTTCCACATATCCATCTCATGAATGCTAGCTTGCTCTCAGTTTTTATTTCGAAATCTTAGGGTGTGCTCTTTTCCCAGCACATGTGTAGCTACAAATCACTTTAAAAAGGTCCCAACTCCCAATTACAAAAATTTCATGGTATGTTTTTTATTTAAAATTTAGCAATTAGGTTCATAGAATTTAAGTTTGACTTTTTTTGCGGTCTACTTGAAGTACTTTGAAATTCACAGTGCACTCGCATAATCTGAAATGAAGCAATATTTATCGCATAAATTCTCTCTTTACTTTAGCCTGTACTTTTTCTAGTTGAGGATGAGCAGCTGGTTTTCTGCATGAATAGTTGAATCCTATAATTTACATCAAGTTTTACTATTTGTAGCATTTCAATAAAACTTTCTGGTATGTGTCAGTTACAAGCCTCCTGAATACCTTACTGGAACATATAATGTCAATCCATCTGAAAACCATATGGTCCTGTAGTAAGGTCTTCTGAATATTTTTTTTCCGAGCACATCGATCACTCCAAATCACATAAAGACTTTCAACTAAGAGGAATATCATGACATGTTCTTTTTTTTTAAGAATTTAGCTATAAGTTCCTGGAACTTAAGTTTGAGTTTTTTTGGGGTCTGTACGAAGTACTTTAAAACCGACAATTTGACAAAAGTTTGATTTATTTCATAAAGTTTTCCTAGTGTTGCTAATAAAAATTGTATACTATGAGAAGCTGATTCGTCTTTCACTCATGATCATATGCTTTTAGAATGTTGCATTGCCTTGCTTTGCAATTGTTTCTTAGCGATCAATTATTGCTACTTGATAGTGTATTTTGTTTTGTGAACCTTTCTGTTGTTATCTTTGAGCTATCACATTCCTACAATATTACCTATTTAAGGTTTTGTGTTAACTATGCACATGATCTTGCTCTCTTACCTCTTTGCTTAGCAGCATCCATTTGTTTTATGTATGTTTGGTTTGATTTCACTTTGGTCGTAAGCATTTGATACCTATAGAATTCTTGCTGATCTGTTGAGTTTTATTTATAGGTTCGGGTATTCTCTCCAGCACCTCCAAATTGTCGACGGTTCATTGTTGCAACAAATGTAGCTGAAACTTCGTTAACTGTAGATGGTGTTGTGTAAGCAAGCAAACATTATCAGTTAAAGTGCACATACGTCCAGTTTCCATTTCCATACTCTTGTTTTTATATTTAATTTTGATTACTGAAATGTTGTGTTTCTAAATTAGGGAATCTATATCGACTTCGCGGTTTTCTAGAAAATAATCAATCAAATACCATATTTTTTACGGACTAGTGTATCACTACATCCTGTTTATCTCCGACACTAGCTTACTTGAATTTTGTAGAAGATTGATTTGTAAAATGTAGATGGCATACTTTTGCCTGTTACGCCATGAATTTCCATCTAACTTACACAACTTTCATTTGACAGCGCTAGTTATATGTGTGAATTCATGATTCATGCATTGTATTGCATCCTGAGGTGTTAGTGTTATGGTTAATAAATTATATATATCACCAAGATAAACATTAAAGCTGTCTTATGCCTGCAGGAGTTGTTAAGAACTGATGTGATCCAGTTATCAACTTCAGTATATATTAATGATTTTAATCGATAACGAATTATCTGTATTATAATCACAGTGTTACTTTGGATGAATGAGATGCTTTTGATTTGTTTTTTTTCCTCATGCTAAAATGCTGATGCAGCAGCAACTACCCAACTGAAACCGGACTATTAAAATTTGCAATATTTTCTGTATATAGCTGAGTACTCAAATGTCCTGCAATTTTGATATTCCCGGAGAGGCATTTTATTAATAGTGCTATATCTTATTTCACCAGGTTTGTTGTTGATTGTGGTTATGTAAAGCAACGCCAGTATAATCCATCAACTGGAATGTATTCACTTGATGTAGTTGAGATTAGCAGGTAAATAGTAATGGGATATGCACTCTGGTTGTCTGTCTGCATCTTATCCAGACTACTTTCATTCACAGATGTCTAGCTACTGTCTCAATTTTTTTGTCTAGCTTTAATACACACAATATGAATCACTGATTTTTTTCATGAATTACTAGAGTGCAAGCTGACCAGCGAGCTGGACGAGCTGGAAGAACTCGGCCTGGCAAGTGTTATAGATTATACCCAAGTTCCATCTACCAAAAGGAGTTTCTCGAGGCTACAATTCCAGAAATTCAACGAACCTCCCTTGCTGGAAGTGTTCTGTATCTGAAATCATTAAATCTTCCTGATATCGACATTCTAAAGTTTGATTTCCTCGACCCACCATCACGTAAGATAAGATTCAGAATCTTTTATTCATAATAATCCTTCTGCGCTCACTTCGTAAAACTTCTTTTCATCTAATTAAGTACTATGTGTGGTAACCTAAGCAGCTGCGGGCTGGTCTTTGTTCAGGCATGTCATAACTTAGTCACCTTTCTTGCGCTGCTGGGTCCAGCCTTGACTATAGAATTTAGTGTGCTGCATCATGCTTGGTCAGCCCAATGACACTAGTTTTGTGGTGCACGAGCCTAACAGGAACGCCAATATAGAAGTTCTTAAAAAAAGTGATTGCGCATAGGTCAGTTAGATGCTGTTTGCATTTGCCATTTTTTATCATCAGTTTATAATATTGCATTTCCTGAAATTGCGTACCACTGTCATTAGCTGCTCACTGTCACTTGTCAGGAATCTGTGACTTCAAAGACCCTCATGGAAACCCCCATTATTTTTGTCCGTAGTGATCCAGGTGGATAAAATTTAGGATTATCTTCTCTGTCTCCTTATTAATGGACCAATGCTTATGACCTGCAGGTGAATCATTAGAAGATGCTTTGAGGCAGTTATACCTCATTGATGCAATTGATGAAAGTGGGCAAATAACAGATGTTGGACGCCTTATGGCAGGTATAAGTTTGAGCATGAAATCAATTGTTATTCAAACCTATCTTGAATGATGTCTGTAGGAAAATTGCTATTATACCAAACCTCATCTATATGCATGAATTGAATTACACACCTGCTATGATGCCCTATCACTAGTTGTAAGTGCTAGATAATAAATTGTCCTCTTTGTTTTAAATCTTACTGTCCAAGGTATTGGAGGATTTCTGTGAAGTAGTTAATAAAAAGTTATTATTTAGTAATTTCGCTGTGTGATTAAAAGGATTATGTAGGATAAGTTTATTTTGTTCTGGTAAATTTTAAATAATCTGATTTGGTTGTCTAAATTGCATGCTGTGATTTTTTTTACAGAGCTCCCTCTTGACCCTTCGCTTTCAAGGACTTTGATTGAAGCTAATGAACTGGGATGTCTGTCTCAGGCATTAACTGTTGCTGCAGTCTTGTCCGCTGAAATCACACTGCGGCAAACTAGAAAGTGACCATTTGTTGTTTTTAATGTATTTCATGTAGAATGGTCCCATTAGCCAATTGTAATGAACTTGTTGCTTCTTATGTACAGCAAGGATATGGAAGGAAAGAGAAAACGGCAAGAGCTCTCTGATGGTTCTGGCTGGGGTGACCATGTACAATTGCTTCAAATATTTGAAAGCTGGGATCAAGCAGACTATGATCCAAGATGGTGCTCAGAACATGATTTACAGGTGAATGAAAATAAAACTGTGATTCAAATATGATGAGAAGAAAATTTGGATGAGTGAGCATTAATCATTGTAAGTTTGTGAACATACATGCAATCATATCGGACCTTATTGGAACAGTCAAGCTGTATCAAGAACTGTTGTCATTGTTATAACAACAGGAGATTAGAGGGCAGTATCATTAGTAACGTGATCACAACAATGATTCGTAGGGGGTTGTACGGCGACCTTATATCGAAGGTCGTCGTACGCCGACAAACTTGACACTTCGATGTTTTTTTAATAGGTTCGGTTGTGACCTAGGCTCCCTGAGTCATTTGAGACTCCCAAACTTGATCCTAGGGTCCCTGAGTGAATTTTGGAGCTCTAGTGCCCTCCCTTTGTTTGTATTCAAGTGAGAGTCAGTGAGGGTACGTGCCCATGGGGGGCTTATATAGGGCTAGGGGTCCTTGACAAGACCAAGGCCACACTTGGTGGTGGTAGGTAGGAGGTGTACATTGGTCAAAGTTGGTCAACTGGTCCATGGTGGACTAGGGAGAGAGGGAGTCCATAGCTTATGGTGGACCAGATCCTCTCATCCCTCCACCCTTGCGGGCTTCTCTCATCTTGGGCCTTCCTTGACTTCTTTTTTTATGTTCTCTTCTCTTATGACTTGTTGACTCGTGTTAGTTGCTTGGACTTTCATTGACTTGACTTGACTTTGTTGTCAAAGACTCAAAGTCTCATGATTCAAATTATGCCCACAACTTCTATTTGAGTTTGTTAAGAGGACAAAGGGAAATGGTATTTTGTTCAACAGAACTGAGGACGCTGACATCATACTGGTTTGATTCTGATGCTTTGTTTAAATGTAAGGATCGTCTAGTATTTTAAATTGAGTGAGTTACTTGAAAGCTAGGGAATTATCTCTTCATAAACAATACCATTTTGTGACGTGTGGCAATGCCTAAGCCTGTAATTCACTGCTCAACGTTTGGCCCACCTGTTCTTTGTCCTTCATTTGTTGGGCATTTTACCTAAACTTGTACTCCCTCTGTTTCATAATATAATATAAGATGTTATTACAACCAATAAGTGAGTATATCGGTTGTAATAACATCTTATATTATGAGCCGGAGGGAATAGTTTACTATTTACAGCTACATACATGACAATAGAAGTATCAAGTATGATTAAGTTGACGTGCATCTATATAATATCTTTGAAAGACTTTGCAGTCGCACTTTGTTTTGTACAAAACAATAGGTTTCGTTCTTTATGTTGACCACCAGACTATCTTTGCAGGTACGGGGCATGAAATTCAGCAAAGATGTGAGAAACCAATTAAGTCAGATTATTCAAAAAATTGCTAAAGGTCAGTTTTCTACTTGTTATATTTTCTGTTTCTCAAAATTCTTGACAAAGTACCCCTTAAAAACTGTTCCCCTGTTTCTCCTATACCGAGACATGTCTCTCTGGTAGAGCTGCTTTTTATATAAAGAACATGTATTGCTTCAGTTTTGATTCCTAAGAATTACCTTCAAAACAAAGCTAAAGAGTGAAGACTAGTGTTATATGCTCTTAGGTTTTTTGCCTTCAGGATCACATGCACCCATTAATGGCTTTGAGACTTGTGTTCCAAAAAATCCACACCTTTACAAGGGCATTCCAAATGCTCTTCCACCATCAGCTCTAAACCATGCAACGTTGGGTCTGAGCTGAGGTGGCAGGACAATTAGTGAAGAATAGATTAAAGTTATATCTACATGTAGATTGTATCTTGTCCCAAACTCCAATGACCTGTGGGAACTCATTTGCACACAAGCAAACGATACATCCGTCATTGAGGATTTAGTATTTCAGCTTGTATCATTACATCCGTCATTTGCACACAAGCAACCGATACATCCGTCATTGAGGATTTAGTATTTCAACTTGTATCGTGATGTGGAACTAATAGATAGAACAATTTACTAATTTAGATAACACCACTGGGAGCACCTAACATGTCTCAGCATATGCCTTTGCAGAATTTGTGAAAAATAAGTATTACAGAAGATGGGTTCAATCCTTCTATCTTCTTTTTTTCTTGCCACTGCACTTATTGTGATATTCTTGCCAACAAAAAATTGCATGTGTTCACCCGTCGAAAGAAAAATGTATACATGTTCGACATGTATTTCCCCCCCAAGTGTACAAGTACTAAAGCAAATTGCGGGTGCATATGATCTTAAGAGCATAAAATTCCAGTCAATAGATGCTTGATGCTCTCTGTAATTTGGATAATCTGTTCAGATCGTGTTGTCAAAATTCTTCTTTATAGAGTATTTGTAGGCTGTATTTTGTCTAATTTTATTTTGAAGTTAAATATAATGAGATAGCAACTAAACAGAACAGCAAATTTTGTTTGTTGAAATAGCACAGCAGATTTTGTCCGTGCACGTACATAATTAGTCTTTGTTGCCTAATGGCAGTATATTTGTTGTCCTTGAATTAAGGCTTCCTATTGTTGAAATGTGAGCAGACATGTGAAATTATTAATGTATATGCTGTCTCCTGTTGAAATTTCAGCACAACACGTCAAATAATCACAATTTATGCACAAAAAAGAGATATTATGACAGCTACACCATGTTGTCTATATCAGTTAAAATACCGTGTACATTGCTCTCCCTGAGATGCTGGAAACTGATTGGAGTATTTCCCATCCAGTTTTGACTGAATTTTATAAGCAAACTTGCTTTGTAAAATTCAGGTCCAACAGATTTGCAAGCAAGGAGAGGACGGAAGAGTGACCCTGACTACAGAAAATTGAGGAGAGCACTTTGTGTAGGATATGGCAACCAGTTAGCTGAGAGGATGATTCATCATAATGGTTACCATACGGTTGGATACAGGACACAACTTGTGCAGGTATAACCTTGATAATTTGTTTGTTAGATTCAGTTAGTTTGCATTCTAGGGGCTAAAAAGTAAGACTGAACCAGTAATACACGCAGAAACTAATACTAGTGTCAAAAACGCTCTTATATTATGGGACGGAGGGAGTATGTCTTATTTGTGCCTGTCTTGACTTTCCTTTGGAATTAATGAAACTGCCAGTCGCTACTTGAAGTTTATAGTTATTTCTCAGCGATGCTTAATAGTTTATTCTAGGGGACATCGAGTTTGTTGTTTGTGCCATTTGGAAACCGTAGTTATGACATGCTGAATATCATTTGTGAAGAACAGTTGTGTCATGCAACAAGAATTCATTGACATATTTAACCTCCTCTTGTGGAACTGTACCTGCTACTTCAATTGTGCAACTCCACTGGCACCTTTCTAAGTACACCTTTTATGCAGGTGCATCCATCTTCTGTACTGGAAGGGGATGAATACGGGAAACTGCCTGTGTATGTCGTCTACCACGAACTAATAAATACTACCCGCCCTTTCATGAGAAATGTTTGTGGGGTCGAGCAGACTTGGGTTAAACCAATCTTGAAGAAGCTTGAGAAACTGAACATAAACAAATTAAGGTATGAAAGCCATGTATTAACAAATGGTTATCATTCCGGTGTCATGATACAATGCTAGCTAGACAAGTAACCTTGAGTGTCTTATTGCAGCGGCGGTTCAAGTGCGTTGATAGATTACGAACCTCTAGAGGAGAAGCAACCAGGCTCGCCGACAAAAGCTGCAGCTGCTAAGCAATCTGATGTGGATAGTAAAATCCAGGCGGCCCGAGAGCGCTACCTTGCACGAAAAGGCAAGAAGTGATATATTAGTGATCTTCCAGTAGTATGATTATTTTGAAGAGAGCGAAGCATGCATAGAGCACATGAACATGAAAAGAGTAAACACATTCGGAACAGAGCTCATAGTCTGATGTATACTAACCAATATCATGGAACAGCCTTAGATCTTCCCTGCCCAATGCCTTGTGGTGTGTTCCGTGATGTACCTTGCTCAGTTTGCGCTTAGATATGAAGCTTAAAGCCCCAAAATTATCCCCGGTTATTCAAGATGTTCATAATTCCGTATCTGGGGCACCTGTGATTGTGGACATTAGAGTGCACTAACACGTGTCGATGTACTGGTGCACTAGGTCGCCGAAATGTGCATCTAAGAGTCCTAGATTTTATTTTTTTACAGAAAGTGACTTACAAGCTGATGTGGACTATTTTTATGGACCTAAATAGCCAGTGAACGTTCGCTTGGGAGGATGGCAATTGTGAATGTCTTCCATGGCAAGTTGTATCGGGGTGGCAATTTTTGAAAAGAATAAAAAATTTGCGGCAAAAAACAGCAGAATTTGCCATCTCCTACCGCATAAAGTTGCCACAAAAATTTGCTTGCCATGCCACCCTCCTCCTAGAAAAGGTTCACCAGTTACCATTTTTTTATTTTTATTGAAAATTGGGGAGAAGCAGGCCCACCCTAATTCTGTAGATACTATTATTATCTATAAGTCCGGCAATCGAGAATTGGCAAGAACTTTGACATGCAATTTGATGATAAGCAATCGTAAAGAGTTAATAAGTTAGGATTTGGGTTACTCTTACTCTTACTCACAAGTTGCAAAAAAGGATAATCATAACTGTAATAAACCTAGGTCTAAATAGTAACCTATTGAGAGGGACATGGATTTCACTTGATAAAATAATGTGAATGGTTGAATGAACACAGAAGTCTTTTCTTTTTTCGGTAAATGCAGGCAGTTCTTTTTGGGCTTATTTAGGTCTATGGAAATAAGCTGCCTAGTAGGCTTCGAAAATTTTAGGTTGGATTCTAAAACAAGCTGGGTAAGGGACAACCTATTTCCACAGCCCGAAAAAGCCACAAAAACTGGTTGTAGAAGTCTTTTGACTCAATTACAACGCTAGATAACTGGGTTGATGGAGATGGTGCTTAACTTGGTCAAAATCCTACGAGATAGATGAAGAACATTAGAAGTTAGTTTTCAACCGATGAAACGCATACTTTACATATAACTAAGACAGATGGGTCTATACGTAATTTGGGACACAAGTAATATAGTCTTGTACTAATTTTTCTGTAAGACCAAATTTCAACGGAAATATTTTTATTTTATTTGAAAAACTTCAAAATGCATTTTCTTCGAACAGCTCATTTGGCATCTATGTTTGGATCGGAATTCGCGGAATTCAATTCCGAACCCCGACACCAACACATTTCAGAAGTCTTTTTCTTTTTACAATTACAATTACCTATGTTTTTAAAACGACACTTTGCTTTAAGGCGCTGGGGCGCCTCGACACCTAGGCGCCTAAAGCGGACATATTTGCAAAGCGCTGGGGTTAAAAACATGGACAATTACAATTCCAGAAGTCTGAAACGGCAGGTAAACGAAACCCCGGCCATTCCTTTTCAAAAAGTAAATAAAAATAAAACCCGGCCAACAAGCCGTCATTCTCCAAAATCGCTCATTTGGCAGGAACCCTAAACCCACAGGGCTCATCTCGCCAGCGCCGCCGCCGCCCAGGGAACCCACCAAGCTCGTCTCCCCGGCGACTCCCTTCACCACCAGGACCTCCCCTACCCCACGCACCGCCGCCGCGAGGGTGACCACGCGAAGCAGCCGTCGCTGATTAGCTACAGGGGGGCGGACCAACAAGACCGCCACAGCCCACAGACACCCCAGGAGGCCGGGTGGCATAAACCCTAGGAAGCCCGCGGCTCTTCCCTCTCTCTCTCTCTCTCCCGACAGAGCACGCCGCGACCCGCCGACCACAAGAATGAGCGCGGAGACCGACGCGACGGCGGCCGGCGGGCTCGCGGGGGAGATGGAGGTCGAGGCGTACCGCCGCCTCTTCCCCCTCGCGTTCCTCGAGCGTCACCTCCGCGAGTCCGTCCGGCCTGACGCCCGCCGCCTCGCCGAAGCCCGCCCCACCACCGTCGCGCTCGGCGCCGTCTCCTCCGCTCACGGCTCTGCCCTCGTCCGCCTCGGTGACACCGTAAGCTCCCCTTTCACTCTCACAACCTATCTCCGGTTCCCATTGCCATATTGGCGTTGCGCGCCACCTGTTTGATGAAATGCTTTCCATCGCCGCAGGCCATGCTCGCGTCGATCAAGCTCGAGGTGATGTCGCCCTCTGCCGAGACCCCGGACCAAGGATCAGTCGGTTCGTGTGGCCTTCCTCTTCCTTTAGCTGCTGCTGCTGCTGCTCTAGTTCTGTACAGTTTGGCTAACTTCACCGTGTTTCCGCAGCTGTGGAGTTCCACATGCCGCCTATCTGCTCCCCGCTTGTAAGGCCAGGACGGCCAGCAGAGGCTGCGCCTGTCATCTCCAAGGCCCTGGAGGACGTCCTCATGAGGTTTCTGTTGTGGCTTGCATTTCTTGCGTATCTTTACCATGCTGACACAAGGGATGAATGTATTACTGTGATTCTGCTTTCAGCAAATCGTTATGGTGTAGTTTTAGATTGGTTCATTCTTCCACAGCAAATAAGGATGTCACACCTACAAGAGCACTGTTTGAAATATATTCATATGATTCTCTTTTACCACAGATGTGAATGGGTCGTTTCAGATATATTTACCACAGATTGTTTCTGTGAATTGAAATCTCAGGCGGGTGATTTTACATTTCTTTCACTGCATTAAATTTTATTGATTATTTTGTTTCAACTGCAAGTTATAGGATAGGTATTAGTGTGCTTGCTGCTCTGAGAGATTTAAGTTTGGTTGATAGATGATCACACAATTTTTCTACCTATCGTGCTGTAACCTGTCTTTTCTCATATATGGCACTGAAGTTTATTTATTGTATCCTCTTTTGTAGCTCTGGGATGTTAAATTTGAAGGAGCTCTGTTTGATCAGTGGGAAGGCTTCGTGGGTAGCATACCTGGTAATACAACTTTGATTTTGATACTGTGGTCGCCGGTATTCCTTTATTCATAGAATCAAAGTATATCCCTGACCAGTCATCTTTAGAAGTCATCAGGACAAAATTCATGTGATAGCGATAAGTCGAATAAGAATGAGAAAGGCCTCCACCCTTGGTGCCTATCCAAACTTCGAAGTTTCACTGAGGATTGACGCTTTCAGTAGCGCGCTCCTCAATGGAGAATGATCAGCTCTGCGCAGCAACAAACAAAATAAACAGAACTCTGCACGACAGTTAAAAAAAATGATGAACAGAACACAGCACAAAGTAAAGTGTTGAACCGGTATGGGCCCTAGCCCATCAAGATCTGTCTCTTGGGCCCAAGCCCATGAGAGGTGCTGACCTAGAAGAGGAACCCCTCTTCCCCCTGCCCCGGTGTGAGCGGCCAGACACGAGAGGAACTACTCGTGAGTCACCAGACACCACCTGCCCTCCTCTCTGTAGGTACTCCCCCTCTCATCTCAACATGGTATCAGAGGCCAGCGACGGCGGGGCCTAAGGAGACGGCGGCGACGTCCGGCGAGGTGGCGGCGGATCTGGCGCGCGCGGGAGGCTGTGGAGAGCTGCACGCACGAGAGACGCGGGGAGCGGCCCGGCAGAGCTGCGCGGGCGGCTGCTGCTGCTGCTTCTTGGACCGGAGGCAGAGCCCCTGCTCGGGCTCTTCCTCGTCCTCGGGCGGCTGCAGAGGAAGAGGAGCTGCTCGGGGTGGTTGCTGGCGTGCGTGTGCTGAGCGGCAGCAGGCAGAGGAGCAGAGGAGGAGCACTAGTGGAGAGAAGGAGTGTGTGCGTCCTGCGTGCGCTGTGGTGCTGCTGAGCGGAGAGTAGAAAGGGGAGTGATCGAGAGGAGAGGAGCTGCTGCTGGGCGCTGTGGTCCTGGAGGCTGCGTGTTTGCTGCTGCTGACTCTGTTGCTGCTACTGCTGGTGCTGCTGAGGGGGAGAAGGAAGAGGAGGTGTTGGAGCTTATTCCTGCGAGGAGCTGCTGCTGGTTGGAAAGAGAAGAAGAGGTGTTGCTGAAGCTGAGCTGCTGCTGGTTGGAAAGAGAAGAAGAGGTGTTGCTGAGTTTTGCTGTTGCTGCTCATCCCGCCAAACAATGGCTGAACCAACTGGTCTTGCCGAGGCTTTGGAGAAGCTCGCTAAGATCCTCGCGGAGTCCAACTCTGGGGCCATCGTTCCTCGACAGGGAGTGGCTCAAAAGCTTGAAATGTCGCCCCTGGACATGAAGCTAGAGGGGGCAACAAATTATTTGAGCTGGTCCAGAAGGGCTTTGTGGGCTGTGGAGCAGAAGGAGCTTGATGGATATTTGTTGGGCACCGTTGTAGAACCAAGGGACAAGAGTAGTGCAGAGGGCAAGAGGTGGAAGGTCATCCACTCTGTACTTATGGTGTGGTTGTTGAACTCCGTGGTGCCCTCCATTGGACGCTCTGTGGAGGGGCTATCCTCACATGCTGAGATATGGAAGATTCTGTCCACTCAATACTCTGGCAAGGGCAATGTCATGCTCATTGCTCAGATTGAGGACAAGATTAGGTTGCTGCGTCAAGATGATGGCATGTCAGTGATGACATACGTGGCAGAACTGCAGGCTCTGTGGGCTGACCAGGATAACTGTGATCCCTTGGAACTCTATGATGCGGCTTCAATCGAGTCAGGGCATAAGTGGATGGCACGCAGGCGTGTGCTGAAATTTTTGGCTGGCCTCAAAGGTTGCTTTGATGGCAGGAAGGCTTCCCTGTTGCACCAACCTAGTCTGCCTACCATTCCTGAGGCTATTGCAGCGATGACTCAAGAGGAGGTGCGCCTATCCCTTGAGCATGCAGACATGAAGGTTGTGCCAGCTTCGACATTTGCAGTCACTGAGCGCATGGAGTGG